ATGTAATACACGAAATCAAAGCAGTGACAATCGTAATTATAAGTATAAAAATGAACCCTTTTTTTGTAATTCCTATGATGCAATTAGAACTTATCGGAAGAAACAAATAAATTTAGATAGTCCTTTGTGGCTCCGATGGAGACTCGATCAACGCGCCATTACTTCAAGAGAAACTTTAATAGAAATTCATTACGAATCTCGAGGGACTTATTATGAGATTTATGGACACTATCTAATAGTCCGAAGTATAAGAAAAGAAACTCCTTTTTTATATATTCGAACCACTGTTGGACATATTTCTCTTTATCGTGAAATTGAAGAAGCTATCCAAGGATTTTCTAGGGTCTGGTCGAGACCTAACAGAATTTGATGATATAAATACCAACGGTAATTTGGGGCTCCCCGATTTAACTAGGACCTGAGCTACGGAATTTCTACGTGAATAAAGATCCAGAAAAGTAAGTTTTCAAATCATTGACTAAAATTCATTGTCTTGCCGAATCCTACTTAGCCAAACAAGGAGGTACTTATGGCAGAACGGACAAATCTGGTCTTTCACAATAAAGTGATAGACGGGACTGCCATGAAAGGATTTATTAGTAGATTAATAAATCACTTCGGAATGGCATATACATCACATATCCTGGATCAAGTAAAAAATCTGGGTTTTCAACAAGCGACTACTGTATCCATTTCATTAGGAATTGATGATCTTTTAACAATACCTGCCAAGGGGTGGCTTGTTCAAGATGCTGAACATCAAAGTTCGATTTTTGAAAAAAACAATCAATATGGAAATGTGCACGCAGTAGAAAAATTACGTCAATCCATTGAAATATGGTATGTTACAAGTGAGTATTTGCGACAAGAAATGAATCCTAATTTTAGGATCACTGACCCTTTGAATCCAGTTCATATAATGTCTTTCTCCGGAGCTAGAGGAAATGCATCTCAGGTACATCAATTGGTAGGTATGAGAGGCTTAATGTCAGATCCACAAGGACAAATGATTGATTTACCGATTCAAAGTAATTTACGTGAAGGACTTTCTTTAACGGAATACATAATTTCTTGCTATGGGGCCCGTAAAGGGGTTGTGGATACTGCTGTCCGAACCTCGGATGCTGGATATCTGACGCGTAGACTTGTTGAAGTAGTTCAACATATTGTGGTACGTCGAACCGATTGTGGCACTGTTCGCGGGGTTTATGTGAGTCCTAAGAACGGAATGATGCCAGAAAGTATTTTTATCCAAACAGTAATTGGTCGGGTATTAGCAGATGATCTATTTATAAGCTCACGCTGTATTGCCACTAGGAATCAAAACATTGGAGTTGGACTTTTAAATAGATTTATAAAATTTCGAGCCCAATCAATATTGATTAGAACTCCCTTTACTTGTAGGAGTACATCTTGGATTTGTCAATTATGTTATGGTAGAAGTCCTACTCATGGTGATCTGGTAGAATTGGGAGAAGCCGTAGGTATTATTGCAGGTCAATCAATTGGAGAACCTGGTACTCAATTAACATTAAGAACTTTCCATACAGGCGGAGTATTCACAGGGGGTACTGCAGAACATGTCCGGGCCCCTTTGAATGGAAAAATAAGATTTCATGAGGATTTGGTTCATCCGACACGTACACGTCATGGACATCCCGCTTTTCTATGTTCTATAGATTTGTATCTAACTATAGAGAGTGAACATACTCTACATAATATCAAAATTCCTCTTAAAAGTGTTCTTTTAGTTCAAAACGAGCAATATGTAGAATCCGAACAAATTATTGCTGAGATTTGCCCGAGAGCATCGAGTTTTCATTTTAAAGAGAAGGTGCATAAAAATATTTATTCTGATTCAGATGGAGAAATCCACTGGAGTACGGATGTTTATCATGGATCAGAATTTGCATATGGGAATGTTCATTTATTATCCAAAACAAGCCATTTATGGATATTATTAGGAGAGCCTTGTCTTTCTAGTCCAGTTTCCTTTTCAAGTCACGGGGACCAGGATCAAATGAGTACTCCTTCCCTTTCTTCGCTTAAACGAAGATCTATTTCCAACCTATCAAAACTGAATAATCAGACTAGACAAGAAATCCGCCGTGCGGTTTTTTCTGGTAAAAACAAAGAGGACTTTGCTTATTATTCAGACGTAAATTTTTATTTTTTATCAAATTTATTATCAAAGAGGCGAAGAAATCAATTTAGCATTCCCCTCCAATCAATTCAAGAAGGTAAAATTAAACTACTACCCAAGTCAAATATCTCAATGAAAATACCTGCAAATGGTGTTTTTTTTCAAAACACTATTATTGCTTATTTTGACGAGACCCAGTCCAGAATCAATCATTTAGACAGTACTAAATCCCAAGATGGGACTCATTCAATCATTCAAAAAGAAAGTTTTATTAAGTATCCGCGAGTAAAAGAATTTAAACCAAAAAGAAAAGGAGAGCACTTTTTTTTTTTTCCCGACGAAGTGCATATCCTACCTGGATCTTCTTCGATAATGGTACGGAACCATAGTATCATTGGAATAGATACAAAAATAACCTTAAATAGAAGAAGCCAAGTCAGTGGGTTGGTCAGGGTGGATAGAAAAGAAAAAACAATTGAACTGAAAATATTTTCTGGCGAGATCTATTTTATTGGTCGCACAGAGAAAATATCCCAATGTAAACATGTTTTGATAACACCTGTAACGGGAAAGCCAAATTACAATCAAAGAAAAAAAATTACAAATTTGATTTATGCCCAACGGATTACACCAAGTAATAAAAAGTCTTTTGTCTTGATTCGACCTTGCATCAAATATGAAATAATAGACGGTATAAGTTTGACAACACTCTTTAATCCCGATTTATTGCGGGAAAGGGATAATGTGCAACTTCGGGTTATAAAGTATATCCTTTATCTAACTGACAAACTAATTCAAGAAAATTATGACCCAAGTCTTCAATTAGTTCGGGCGTGTTTAGTTTATCATTGCAACCAGGATACGAAAAGTTATTCTAGTGAAGCAGCCCGCACTTCCGTTTATGAAATAAGAATAAAAAATTTGATTCGTCATTTCCTAAGAATTAACTTTGCGAACGCACGACTTTCGTATATCTCAAAAAGGAATGATCCTTTGGGTTTAGGATTATTTGCTAATAATGAATTAATTTGGACCACAAAAAATTCATTTTCTAAGACACGGATTGACGAAACCCTTAACGAAAAAAAAGGAACTATTCATACATTTTGGAATCAAAATAAGGAATATAAGTCCTTTATTATTTTGTCATCATCAAATTGTTTTCAAATGGACTTTTTTAACGGTGTAAAATATCACAACGTCAGAAAAGCCTCAATACAAAAGCATTCCCCAAGCCTTGATATTAATAATTATTTGGGTCCTTTAGGAACATACCTTCCAATTGTGAATTGTGATTCGTTGAATCGGTTATTAACTAAAAATCTGAGTTTAGTCACTAATTATTTAAAACTCGACAAGGTAAAACTGCCCTGTCAAGTATTCAATTTTAAATATTATTTTCTTGCGGAAAACAAGAAATTTTACAATTTTAATCCATGCAGTAACATTATTTTGAATGCATTTAGTTTGAATGGGTCTTTTCTTTACCAAAATCATTGGACAGCGACATATAAAAGACTAAGTCTTGGACAGCTTATTTGTAAAAATGTATATATAGAAAAAAGAATACCTGTTATAAACTCGGGTCAAGTTATTCTTGTCAAACTTGACTCTGTAGTAATACGATCAGCTAAGCCTTATTTAGCCCCCCCAGGAGCAATTGTTCATGGCCTTTATGGAAAACCCCTTTTTGCCGGCGATACAATAGTTGCTTTTAACTATGAAAAATCAAGATCCGGTGATATAACACAAGGCCTTCCAAAAGTAGAACAGGTCTTAGAAGTGCGTTCGGTTGATTCCATATCAATGAATCTACAAAGGAGGTTTGTGGATTGGGACAAATTTATAACCGGAATTCTTGGAATTCATTGGGGATTTTTTATTAGTGCTGAGTTAACTATAGTGCAAAGTCGTATCTCTTTTATTCATAAGATCCAAAAAGTTTATAGATCTCAGGGGGTCCAGATTCATAATCGGCATATTGAAATTATTGTACGTCAAATCACAGCAAAAGTTTTAGTTTCAGAAGATGGAATTTCTAATGTTTTTTCGCCTGGAGAACTTATTGAATTGTTGCGGGCAGAACGGATGGGGCGTGCTTTAGAAGAACCTATTTATTATAGAGCCGTATTACTGGGAATAACAAAAGCATCTCTCCATACTCAAAGTTTCATATCGGAAGCGAGTTTTCAAGAAACTGCTCGGGTTTTAGCAAAAGCGGCTCTGGTGGGGCGGATCGATTGGTTGAAAGGCTTGAAAGAAAATGTTGTTTTGGGTGGGGTTATACCGGCCGGGACTGGATTCAGAGCATTAGTCTACCCCTCAAAACAATATAATAAAAGTTCCTTCCAAAAACAAAAAAACAATCTATTTGAGGCGGGGGTTAGAGATATTTTATTCCCTTATAGAAAACTTTTGAAATCGTTCCTTTCAAAAAATAAAAAAAAGATATCACATAATTGATAGGATTTAGAAAGATTCCTAAGAGCAAATTAATATCTTGTATGCTTTCTCAATTTCGCCGGTTGATTTAGAAATAGAAAAATAGAAAATAATAATTATTGGGGCGTATATATTATATATATCGGCAATTTAGTATAGATGACTATAGAGGATAAGGTTCCGTTGGAACACGTTTTTAATTTAATTCAAAATTCCTCGTTAATTTTTTTCTTAAACAGAATCTAAAAGGGGGGATCTATTTCAATGACAAAAAGATATTGGAACATCAATTTGGACGAAATGATGCAGGCTGGAGTCCATTTGGGTCATGGTACTAGGAAATGGAATCCTAAAATGGCACCTTTTATTTTTATAAAGCGTAAAGATATTCATATTATAAATCTGATCGGAACTGCTCGTTTTTTATCGGAAGCTTGTGATTTGGTTTTTGATGCAGCAAGTAGAGGAAAAAATTTTTTAATTGTGGGTACTAACACTAAAACAGCTAATTTAGTAGCCCGAGCTTCCATAAAGGCCCGATGTCATTATGTTAATAAAAAATGGCTTGCCGGTATGTTAACGAATTGGTCCACCACAGAAACAAGACTTCAGAAGTTTAGGGACTTGAGAATGGAACAAAAAAAGAGGGGGGTTCCATTATCTTCCAAAAAGAGATGCAACTGTGCTCAAAAGACAATTAGCGCGTTTCGAAACATATCTGGGTGGAATTCGATATATGACAGGCTTACCCGATATTGTAATCATTATTGATCAGCACAAAGAATATATGGCCTTGCGAGAATGTATAACTTTAGGAATTCCAACAATTTCTTTAATCGATACTAATTGCGACCCCAATCTATCAGACATTTCAATTCCAGCAAATGATGACGCTATCTCTTCAATTCGATTGATTCTTAACAAATTAATATTTGCAATTTGTGAGGGCCGTTTTAGCTATAAATATAAATTCTTGATAAAGAAATAAAAAAATAACTAATAAAAAATTAAAAAACTTACTTCAAAAATAACATAGATTCCTTTCATAAGTTACTGAGTCTTCAAAAGTTAGATTTTTTGATTTGTTTCTATTAAAAATGACAAGATCCAATTGAATTAGACAAATAGATTTTGGCATTAAAATAATTAAGGGGGTCATATGAATCTTTTTTTTTTTTTCTAGCAATTACCCCATGGGGTTATACGAAATATCTGGTGTAGAAGTAGGTCAACATTTATATTGGCAAATAGGGAATTTCCTAGTCCACGGCCAAGTCCTTATAACTTCTTGGGTTGTAATTGGTATCTTAATTGGTTCTGCTACTCTAGCTGTTCGCAACCCACAAATCATTCCTAATGGGGGTCAGAATTTATTTGAATATGTTCTTGAATTCATTCGAGATGTGAGTAAAACTCAAATTGGCGAAGAGTATACCCCTTGGGTTCCTTTTATTGGTACGATGTTTCTATTTATTTTTGTTTCTAATTGGTCCGGGGCTCTTTTACCTTGGAAACTACTCAGATTACCTCATGGGGAGTTAGCCGCACCCACGAATGATATAAATACTACTGTGGCTTTGGCTTTACTTACGTCAGCGGCATACTTCTATGCGGGTATTTCAAAAAAAGGATTAGGTTATTTCACTAAATATATAAAACCGACTCCCATCCTTTTACCAATTAACATCTTAGAAGATTTTACAAAGCCTTTATCACTTAGTTTTCGGCTTTTCGGGAATATTTTAGCTGATGAATTAGTAGTTGTTGTTCTTGTTTCTTTAGTCCCTTCAGCAATTCCAATACCCGTCATGCTTCTTGGATTATTTACAAGTGGTATTCAAGCTCTTATTTTTGCAACCCTAGCCGCGGCGTATATAGGTGAATCCATAGGGGATCCTCATTAATATTAATTACTTTGAAAATGGATAAAATGAACTAATGACTAGCGAAGGCCTAATTGCTAATTGATTCATTGTATCATTAACGATTTCTTTTTTTGTTACGTTTTCTTACGAGGAATTACTAATGAATCCACTCATTTCTGCCGCTTCCGTTATTGCTGCTGGCTTGGCCGTAGGACTTGCTTCTATTGGACCCGGAATTGGTCAAGGGACCGCCGCGGGTCAAGCTGTAGAGGGGATCGCGAGACAGCCTGAGGCGGAGGGAAAAATACGAGGCACTCTATTGCTTAGTCTAGCTTTTATGGAAGCTTTAACAATTTATGGATTGGTTGTTGCATTAGCACTTTTATTTGCGAATCCTTTTGTTTAATTTAGAATGATAAGACTAATAAATAGACTATTGAGGCTTTTTTTTTCAAATTATATTCAAAATCCCTCTTGGCATTACTTTATTGGTTGAGAAAAGAACCTTATGATACGCATGAAATACTAATACTTATTCTATTTTAATTGCTTTCATCCCTTCCACTTGTAGTTTAAGCTGACTTTTTTTTAGTGAGGTTTAGTAGATCCGCAAAATACACTAAAATATAATGTGGATTTAATATTGAATTAAGAAGTTATAATTAACTAACGAAAATCTGTTTTGTTTTTTACGTGATATTTATTTATTATTTATTGAATAAAATCAAAATAAAAAGCAAGGTGAAGTAAAGAGTCTTGTTTTATTTTAGTCTATACTATAAGAGGAGAATTTATGAAAAGCGTAACCGATCCTTTCCTTTCTTTCGGCCACTGGTCATCTGTTGGGAGTTTCGGGTGGAATACCGATATTTTAGCAACAAATCTAATAAATCTAAGTGTAGTGCTTGGAGTATTGATCTTCTTTGGAAAGGGAGTGTGTGCGAGTTGTTTATTTCAGGAATAGGCTGGACTAACCAGTTGTACTCTTACTCTTTATTTTTCTGAAAACTCGGAGAGAGAGGTGCAGTATCTCGCGAATTACTTCTGAATAAATAAATTTTCTGTAAGAACCATAGCATTTCGTCATTTACTGGTAAATCAACTTTGATTCTCTCTCAGCCACGACTATGATACTATGAACATGGTTAAAAAATCATTTGAAGTCAAGGCATTATATGGTACTCTTTCTATCACTATGTTCATTATAGAGATCTTTTCAAAAAAATATTTGATCAATAGAGGATGCTCTTATTGATTAAACTAAGGGAACCCCTTCATTTTTATTTTTAAATTTTTCAAAAAGAAGGGCAATTTCCCCTGTTTATCCAAATCCAATGCTAAATGGACGGCCTGTGTTTAGAAATAAGTAATAAAATCTTTTGAAAAAAAAAAACAACTTTGCTGACAATTACCGATTTTTTGGTTGTTTTGTTAGAAGAGTCCTCATCTATTTGGAATATTAACAAAGATAAAGAAGAAGGAAGAGAGGATAAGCTCAATCGAGTAATAAAGAAAAAAAAAAG